CGATGATACGAACAGGGAAAGCGAACAGGGTATCCTGTGGTCCAAGATCGTTGAGAATGGAGGCTCCGAGACGTTCACTACATCGAACAAGAAGAACAGCAAAAACCACAAAGAGAATGTACCTGTACCAGCAACCAGACAGGACAACCGCAGTGAGTCAAAACATTCAGAGACCACCGCATCCGAGGCACAACCTAATCAACCGAGTCGTGAAGCCAAGGAGAGTAGAAACAAATCTTCCAGGCGAATAAGGGAAAGTTACAGACAGCACACTGTTCTTCTGATCCACGATAGTAACTTTGATCACTTCAACCCTAAACTGTTCAATAGTCAATTCAATGTACACTGCCTCAAGTTTGACAGCTATGAGGATACGACTAAAAAAACAAAGCTATTGAACAGCACCATCAAACGACTCAAGCCCGAATGCATATATGTTCACACGGGGATAAATGACCTCCTCAAAAAGAAATCTGGTCTCGTGAGTATCGTTGAGGAGTTCTCCGAGCACCTGATGAACACAACCAAAGCCCAAATATGCTTCTCAGGACTGATTCCATCGAGCAACGATAAAGCCCTCAATGAGAGAATCAGCATCGTCAACAAAGATGTTGAAGACTATGTGAGCTGGCTCCACAAACACAAGCCGGTTGCAAAAGATAGGATCTTTACCTTCCAAAATGACAGCATCGGTGACCAAAACTTTTACACAAGTAACGAAGGGTTCAAGCTGAGAGAACGAGGTCAAAAAATGCTGTGGGTGCGCCTCCGTGAAGGAATGAGGAAAACAATGCGCTTACCTCGAGTAAGCTACCAACCAAAGGACAGATCCAGACGCAGCACGAACAGGTTTAGAGATGAATAGCCCCCCTAAGATGAGACACTCACTCAAACTCATGAGCTGGAACATCAACCACCAGCGTGACAAATTTGAGGGTGTCAAATTCGAAATTGACGAGGTCCAGAAGCTCATAGCTGGCCACGATATCGTCTGCCTACAAGAAACTAAAGGACAGGTTTCTATGCGGGAATTCAAATGCTTCAACGCCAACAGATCGGATAGCAACTCAGGTGGCGTGTGCACAGCGATCCGGAAGCACTTGGCTGCAGGAGTAGTCAGAGTTCATTTTTCCAAATGCGACGACATACTCATCGTAAAGCTTAAAGCCAAATACTTCAACCTTGACAAAGATCTGAATCTTATCAATGTGTACGACTCGCCAGCTCATGGCTCATACAAGAAACGAATGCGTTCGAAAATGGAACAATATACAACCACTTGTGAGCACTTAGAAGAGTGTCTATCAAATATCCCCGACTCCGAAGATGCTGCCATACTTGGTGACATGAACGCGCGGACCGGCACATTGAACGACTTCCTTATACCATGCGAGTCTAGGGACCTTCAAGTTGAACTCGATCCTCCCCAGCATTCTATATCTCCTACTGAGGTAGCCTCTAGAAACAACCAAGATCGGATTCTCAACTCCAACGGCAAACCCTTCATTGAGCTACTCCAGACAACTGGAATGATAATCCTAAACGGAAGGACAATTGGGGACATATTTGGCAGTCCAACTTGCATTCAAAGAAATGGAGTAAGTACGGTCGACTACATTTGCGTGTCCCACAGCCTCCTTCATCGGGCAAGGTTCTTCAAAGTTGGTGACCTCACCCCTTATTCTGACCACAGACCAATATCCACCACTTTAACCACTAACATAAGGAACATTGTGATGGCTGGCGACATCTCGAACGAAATGGAGCTCAAATTCGCATCGATCCCGAAGCCATTCAAGTGGACCAAAGATGCCTGCTCTGGACTTGGTACCACAGAAAAATTCAAGTCAGCCCAGAACACCGCTCAATTCAAAGAAAAAGTTGATTCTCTTCTTCAAACTGATATTTCCTCCCCTGACGACATTCGCAGTTTCAATGAAATTGTGATTGCCACCTTTACTAACCTGGCAAGTCAAGTTACCACCCAGAAAAGTGGAAAGCCCAGTACTAACAAAAACAAATGGTTTGATTGGAGTTGTAGGCATGCTAAACGATTAGTCTGTAGAGACGAAAGAGCCAAGAATAACACCCACATCGATCCTATGCTCGTGGAATCCAACCGAGCAAGATTTTACCTCCGTAAGAAAGAATACAGGGCACAAACACGAGCTAGAAAGGGAGCTTACCTATACAAACTTAACGAGAAAATCAACCTCAGCAACAACATCAACTGGGCTGCTTTAAAAGACCTCTCGTCCGCTTGCAAGGACCCCGATACATTCGACATATATGACCTGATCGCATTTCACAAGTTCTTTAACGACCTATACAATCAGAAGTGCAAGGACCCCTCGCACGGTGGACTACAAACGAACACTTCGACCAACGAAGCTGGTGAACAGGGAACCGAGTACCACCTCGAGCCATCAGTCGAACTTGAAAAACTCAACACAGAGTTTACTATCCAAGAACTGGAGAAAGTCACCAATAAGCTCCAGAATAACAAAAGCGTTTCATGTGATCTTATCTCCAACGAGATGCTCAAGAGCTCCAAACTCGGTCTCCAAAAAGTCCTTCTGAAACTATTCAATGGTTGCCTAACGCAAGGAATCTACCCATGGAACTGCTCAATAACTACTCCCCTACACAAAAAGGGGGACAAGCAGAACCCCGATAACTATAGAGCAATCACAGTCGGAAGTTGCCTTGGAAAACTCTTTGCATCCCTCCTCCTTGATAGGCTGATCGAATTCCGTAAAGTCGTCTGTCCCGACTTCCCTCACCAACTCGGATTCAGAGCTGGTGCCCAGTGCTCTGACCATATCCTGACCCTTACAACGATCATCGAGAAGTATACAAAGAAGCTGAAGAAGAAAATATTCGCTTGCTTCGTGGACTATCGTAAGGCGTTCGACACAGTCTGCAGGGAGGCTCTCATGTACAAACTCAGTAGACTTGGTATCGGAGGAAGCTTCTTCTCTTGCCTCCAGAACATGTACAGCAACTCAGTTACCCGTATCAAACTGAGCAAGAAGCTGTCGGACACCATCGATGTCACCATTGGTACCGAACAGGGGCATCCAATGTCGCCGGAGCTCTTCAAGGTATACATTTATGACCTCTCCATTAGACTAGCAGCTCTTGAGGACTTGTCAATTCCAGAACTGAACGGATTCCCGGTCAGCCATCTTCTGTGGGCAGACGACCTGATACTTTTGGCACTCGACGCCAAAAGCCTGCAGAAACAACTTGATTGCCTGCACGAATTTGCAAGTAAATGGGAACTGTCAATTAACATCGACAAAACCAAAATCATGGTATTCAACTCGAGCTCTCGTTTGCTGAAGTGCTCCTACGGGTTCAAACTAGGGAACCTGGACATCTCATCGGCCAAATCTTACTGCTATCTAGGCATCCAATTCAGTCTCAACGGTTCATTTAAAGGTGCCATGAACGAACTGAGGAAAAAAGCACTAAGAGCATTTTTCTCGATCAGACGCATGGTCGACAATCGAGCATTAACAACAAAAACCATGCTCAAGCTTATAGACAGCCTCGTTAAACCAGTCGCTACGTATGCCTGTTAGATATGGCTACCGTGTACAAAAATGGCAAAGGAGATGGCTTGCGCTGATGGTTCAAGACAGAACCTTGCTAGAGCTGCAACAAAGGACGCACTTGAGACAACACACCTGAAAATGCTGAAATGGGTGCTCGGCTTACACAAGAAAGCTAACAACAACTTCTGTTACGGAGATACGGGCAGGTTACCATGGGCCCTGTCGGTACTACCACAATGCCTGAGATACTTCGACAGATTGTCTCAGACATCACCCGACGTGAGCAGCGTAAACTTTCTTGTACATCAGACATTCCAAGAGCAGAAGAATCTAAACCTCTCTTGGTATAAGACCTGGAACTCGATCGCTCAGTCTGAATCCAAAGCGGCCAAATTCGCTCGATCCGACCAACACAGAGCAGAAGGAACGACCTCAACTGCACATGGAAATTTGGTTGATCACTTTGTAAAAGATTGGAGAACAGATTTAGCATCCCAAAAGAAAATGCAATTTTACTGCACTATCAAACAGGTATTCGGAGAGGAGCAGTATCTCAATCTAAAGAATAGTCAATGTCGCATGCACATAGCAAAAATCCGCTCCAGTAGCCATGACCTTCTTATTGAGAGAGGGAGATACACAAAAGAAACTGGAACGTGGACGAGAGCCTGCAGATTCTGCTGCAACAAGGATAACGTTCAAGGCTTAGAATATCTCTCCTTTTTCGAAGGAACAATCATTGAAAATGAAGAACACTGCCTCACTGAATGTCCAATGTACCACTCAGCGAGACTCTCACTGTCGGAAAACCTTAAGAGTCTTTTGCTGCTCAAGGAATACGGAGCTATCATGAATTCTGCCCATGTGCAAGAACTGGGCAAATTCCTTTGCAACTGTCACCGCATCAGGAACCCGAAAAAGACGCCAATACTGCCTGTCACCCCATCAGGACTACCAACTCAACAGACATAATACAGATCAACCATCATTATGCAGATTTCACGATCTGTTGTACGAGCATGGAACACTAGTGATTACTGTTTCCAGTACGTTGTGACTGTGAGTGGGAGGACTGTTTGAGTATGAATGTGTCTTTTGTGGACTCGAATACTAATATCGCAGTTTAGTGACCATTGAAGTTGCCTTTTACTACTTCCTCTATTGTTAAATTATTATTTCAGCAATTATTTCTATTTCGGTTGTTTGTACGGGAGTTAAATTTTAAGTGATTTTGTTTTAAATTCTCATGATTCTTGAATCTCGAATTTTACTTACTCTAGATATGTCATTCATTCATGTATAGTCGAGACGATGGTGTTAGTGCCATCTCCGACAACTTTACGTTTAATTCCGTTTAATTCCGTTTAATTCCATATATTGTCTATCAGTATCATCATTAGACAACAGTTTACGGTACTTACACAATGAAACGATTTATTTATATTAGGATTAAACAGATTAAACGATTCAGAAGTAAAATTACATGGTATAATGTCTGACCCAATATAAAAAGTAAATTTACCCAAAAGTCAAAAAGAATATATACAAGAGAATGAGAATAAAATTGCAACCACTAATACTATAATAAGGTTAAACAAAAAAGTAATCGCCGCAAATCTTCATAATGAGATTTATTTTACTAATAATTCAAATAAACTCTTATAAAAATGTTCCGAATCTTACATTAGGCAATATTTTTATTGTTAGGAATTTGTTTAAAGGATGCTTTAGGAAATCTTCGTTCATGAGCTTTGGTAAGGAACTTTCCAAGGTCTCTGATGGTTGTATATGTACTATTTATAAAAGTTTCGAATCAAATCAAATCAAAAATCATCTGCGCTACTATCATCTGCGCTACTATTTTTTTCACTGCTATAACTGCTATATATATGATCTTCAGATGGCGTAGCAGGGAGTATAATATTATGCTTGTTTTCTAGAAGGAAGGGATACTTCAGCTGTTTTGGTATTATCAGTATTTTCATAGACCACATTTCCAGTGGAGGAACTTCTTTGATTTCGTCGCCAGCGTAGTAGAACACAAATTCCAACTATGATTATTGCTATAAAGATAAGCACTGCCGCAACTGATCCTATCACGACACCAACACTTACAGCAGCTGAAAAAGTTTTATTGATAGCAAGTTCTATACAGTTTTTAAAAAGTCGTTTTTCTTTTCATGAGAGGAATTGAATTGACAATATAAAACAACAAGAGAAATCACATATTCTTTGCAAATGAATCCAAAATATGATAATAATTAATAACCCATCCGGCAAAGTTCGTTGGATAAACGTTGGAATAAGGTTGGAAAGTACACTTTCCAACGTTGGGTTTGGACGTTGTTTTAAAGTTAGGTAAAACCTTTAACCAACGTTAGCTATTTAACGTTTAAGAACGTTTTTGTTGTTGACGTCAGTATTTCAGTTTATGTTTATTCGCATACATTATTGCATTTTTAAGATTAACATAAATTTCAGGATAAACCCCTTCGATCCCTCCAATTTTTAGGAAACATGAGATGATAAATAAAACATACCTGGAACCTCTACACATACTGTATAACTATCTTTGTCCCACCCTGAAGCAGTACACAAAACCCTGGCGGTGGTATTGTATTCTACTTTTTCAGCTACCTCAAATCTGAAGGCAAGCATATCCTGGGTGGAGGGGATTGTTAACAACGGATAAACCAGCCCCCAGTACGACTCACTAAATTAACTTTTAATTGCTTTTTAAATCAGATAAAGACCTTTGACCAGCTCTGTTAAAAATAATTATTACCTATTAAATTGTTTGTATTGAAGTATTGAAGAAAGATTTCTGGAAATATATTTATAATAACATAAACCCGCCACGCAAAGGGTTTATATAACAGATCATCCCGCGCTAGCGGGATGATCTGATAAACACATACGAGTGCGCGCAGCGCACGAGTTTTGTGTTAATATGTAATCCCGAAGCGCCAGCTGAGGGATTACATTTATTTAGCCCTGAGCGTGAAGTGTTTATGGATTATAATTATCTCCGGCGATTTCGACAAGGGATTTGAATGTCAAACCGATCTGTCATAGTGGAGCAATAGCTTGAACGTTAGCAGGAACAAGAGCTGGAAGGAGAGCAAGCAAAACAATACTATTTTTAGGGCACGGACAAGGGTAGCTGGCTAGTCGCCAACTTCTCACGCCAAGCGTTGGAGAAATTCCAAGAATTAGCTGCTTTGGCAACGTTCCCAGGAATTTGCGTGTAAAAGAAGTGGACGGTTACGATGTTTCATATCACGTGGTGCGCTTTCGTGTCACGTGGTATAGACTCGGCGTATGCTATTGGTGGCACGTGGTACGCACGTGACGCGCCCACGTGATCGCGCGTCTAACTGTTCTACTATTATCGAGTTCTAATCAGCAGTATCATTGATTATTGTAAGTCGGAGAATTGAATGATAAACATCAGTTACGACTAAAAAGCGGGCCGGGTTTATACAAATTTCCGGGGCGGGATGATATCACCTTGAGATGTTTATCTAACAGCGGGCCGGGCTGAGTGATAATATGATCCCGCGTCGAAATCCCGGAGATATTTATAAAATGGGATATCACATATCCATGATTAATATTAATATTATGCAGATTCTGGAGAGGCAAATTATTCAACCAAGTTTGGAGTCGAAACCGAAGTTCAAGTTAAGAACCAAGTCTTACCGGACAGGTGAACGTGAAATGCACATTACTATCTGGAGACAAAAAGTCTGAGACGACTTGTTCGCTATCTTCCAAACTCACGGTTACATTCGCGTCCGTCAAAGTAGATTTACTACAGGCATCTGGAGAGGGAGGTTTAAAGGTTACAAAATAATAAAATGGAAGGAAATAATAATAAAATGGACATAATGAGTTGGAGTTTCGGCTTCAAACAGAAGGGTGTAAGCAGTTATTCACCAATGTAGGGAAGAATTGAAACATTGTCAAGGAGAATTAAAAAGTTGCAAAGGAGAACTAAAAATCGAGTAGCTATGCGGTGCAGCAGAGAAAGTGGTTACTGGCTAGTTGTAGTAGTTGGCTACTGTATTGTATGTAAAATCTCTATAATGGAAATATTAAAGTGATGATCAACAATCAAAAAAACTTACAAGTTGTAAATTCAACTTCAACAGGATCACTTGTCAGTACTGTTTCCGTTTCGCCAACATTCCCCTCGGAGGTCATTGAAATTTTGTAGGCAACATTTAATTCTAGACCTGTGAATTCATGAATAACTGGTGTAACATCACGCTTTCTTCGTGAAGGTAGGTTATCAGCCCCACCTTCGCCGCTGGTATCAGCCCCACTTTCGCTGCTGGTATCATCCTCACTTTCGCTGCTGGTATCATCCTCACTTTCGCTGCTGGTATCACCCTCACTTTCGCTGCTGTTATCAGGGTAAACATACTCCATCATAACTGTCCACACTTCGTCAACCTTTTTGGATACCTTTAAGCGGTAAGTGAAACCTTCTTCTGGCACGAATTCCACTATAGCAGTACTGTCAGTCAACACTATTTTTGAGGAATCTATTGGTGTTGGGAGTGTTGGTCCTGAGAAAAATTGTTCGTTTAATTTCGTGTAAGAGACTTACTTTATCCTGAGTATAAATCATCGCTCAACAGTACCAATATATAACTGTCAAAGTAATGTCGGTTCCCTTGTTATCGCTTTTTATGTGTCCGTCAATTTTCAGATCTATTCAGTTCCGAGCTGATTAGTAAATGGTAATTTTGGTGCCAATGGCTCCAGTCCCGATATCACTAATGGCAAAACTTTATTTGTAGTAGTGACATAATACAAGATACAACACGAATTGTGCTATATGACACCATTTATCCTCACCTTGAGTGAAAGTGTTTGTGACTGTCTCGGAGGGTGTATCATCATTAGTCAGGACCGTGACAGTGAAAGTGTACTCTGTGAGTGGAGTAAGATCATCGTACGATATGGTAACTTCCTTAGCAGTTCCAAAATCTTTCTCTTCAATAACTTCGGCCTTGCTACTCAGGGTATACTGAAATTGTTATGATTGTCCTAATCTTCTTATACGTGAATAGCCAGGCTTGAGTTTGATGCAGACAAGATTGTGGTGACAGTTCAACAAAGTTGGTTAAGGGGGCAGAGGGGGTCTTCATAATAAATACGAATCAAGACTTACCTTGACTTTGGTGTTGCCTCCTGGACTGGTATCGGCTAACTTGATCGTCACATCGCAGGCGGTTGAGGAAACTTCAAAGTCCGTGATGGTCGCAGGAGCGTGACCTAATGACAGTTTCTCAGGTTAACCAAAAATTTACATTAACTCCAAACGTGTTCCGACATATCGAATACATATTTTGCATACATAATGACATGTACTCAAGCTTATGAGACTATTACTCTATTTAAAAATGTTGAACAAAAGTATCTTTAAAATGTAGAATTAAAAAAATATGATATAGACTATACAGTGCGAATAAGTACACATTTTTTAATGACCTTAAAATATTATACAATACTATACTCATGTTAAAAACTTTGAAAACAATAAAATTACCAGTTTTGAATTCTTTGGTCATATCTCCGCCGGGTCCTTTCTCAGTGCTGGAAGATATCACAACAACATAGCTCTTGAGAGGCTCTAGGACACTGCTCCAATCGTATTCAGTCTGGCTCACAAGATCGGCTATATCTAAAACAATGTTTTATTAAGTTGGGTACGATGGAGTTATCTTTGTAATTGTATGGTGCAAATTGTTGGGAACAGTCCACGTTACAATCGCGCAATTCCTCTATATAAACTGGAAGCCAGTTCTAGAAACGAATATTAGGTTATTTTTAAAGTTATTTCAGTTAACTCTGGAGATAAGTTACTTAAATCATAATTTTAATGATGACCAATATCAACAACAGATGTATAGCTGTTTGGTAACGTTTATTTCTCAAACATGGAGATGATGATTCACGGTAACAAAAATTAACTAACTCTTAGCATCGTAAGCTTGTTTCTCGTCACCATTCTTTTCACTTATCTTCATTGAATACACTGGTTCGTATGAACCGATTGCAGTAATTTCTCCAATATCAGCAGGCAAAGTGTCTTTGAAAATCATAGTTACAGTTTTAGCGCCGACAACACTAATCGTGACGTCACCTGAAGAAATTAAAAAATTACGAAATTACGAATCAAATACATGTACAGTAAATAATAGCACTAGACGGCAACACTGTTAATAATAGCGGCTGTTAACTAGTCATACAACACATCGTGAAATTTATCGAAATAGAAAATATGTGAGTACATATTATATAGCAAATACCTGCGTCCAAGGGTGGAGGTCCAACATAAAATCCGGTAACGTCTTTTCTAGTCACAAACACTTTATCTTGGCTTGGATATTTGATATGAACGACATGCAGTGAGATACCATCTTTTAATTTGGCTTTCCAATCAGCATCAGAGGTATATAGAGTGTACGGGCAATCGTAAGTATCGGAGTCTGCGTTGATACTAGTAATGGGGCAAATTATATCACCACCACTGTCCGCGACAAACACTTCCTCTATCTTCCAATCTACAGATCTGAATTGGTTATAAAGTTAAAATTCGGTTGAGGGAAGCGAAAAAACTTTTTCCAAACCTTTTAAAGATTACAAAATGAAGCAATGAACATGACCCATGAATACGGATGTGTTTTGGAACAGATGATTCCGTGATTCGTACCAGATTGGGCGCTGTCTCACAACAAAATACTTCGGGTCCCCAGTCGTAGTTAAGTCTGTAGTCAAGCACAGATTTTATTTTGTTGAAACTGATGGTATCTAAAAAAGGTATCCTATAGACTTACGTATCTCTGTCTGAAGGCAATACCACAGAAGCTGTAAAGGTGTACGATCCGGTTGACGCTGTTGGTGCACCCAACTTTGGGACAGCTGAAGTAATTTAATTCGTTACTGACGCAGAGATTATACTAGGCCGTTTACAAATAAACTTTGGACTTGATAATGGCCCATGGTAAAACTATCCATAAAAATGGAATCTTAGTCCCCGGATCTTGGCTAGTCGGAGAGCGGGAACGAAGAAATCTGAGACATTGCAGAGCGTAATTTTCAATCTGAAGAAATTATCATGCTTTTAAAATGGCGGGGAGTATTTTTTGGCGAGAAAAATTCTTCAATTCTGTTCAATTTAGTTTAACTTTCGTTTAATTTTCCCTTTGGAAGCATAAATATCCAAACTCAGTTATCCGTAATGAGACATGTTTTGAAAAAGTTCTGTGGAAATTAGTTTGGACCAGAACTTGACATCATTAGTCTCTGTGTCCCACTTGTTTTAAATTCGTACACTTACCAAGGCACCAATCTTTGCCAGCATGTGTTCCTGCCTCCTTCAATTCTAAACTTCTATTATCGTTAGGATCTACCTTACACTCAGCATAAGACCCAATTGCTCTTTTGGTAACATCGAAAGCCATGACATAGTCGTCACTAGAACAATTAATTTCCACCTCTTCACCCAATTTAACTTTGGTTCCGGTCTGACCTACGGCGCTAATGATGGTGTTGGCGTTAGGGTTGGGAATCTCAGATACCTAAAAGGAGGGAGAATTACCATGCAAAAAGTTTGTCGGTAAAACTTGATTTAGTGCAGATCAGACTTGACAGACTCGAAATCTTTTACCAAATTTGAAATAGAATTAATGTTAATGAGATGGCTATTTAAAAAGTCACTTGCAACGTAACCATGGTAACAATGGTAACAGTGTTTTCCTTTGTACCGAATATAAACCTAAACAGTAAAATTGTGTTACAATCAACGCTACTAAACCACTAACCGAACACGAAGGGTAGCATCTCTGTAACACTATCTCATCTCCGTTCGTTCCACATTCAGCTTCGAATATGGTACCTTCAGTTCTTTCCACTGTCATCGTTTGATCTTTACATTGGAATTGCACCTGGTAATTATCTCGTCACATGAGAGAGTACAACTAGAAAATATTACCTTGAATAAATCATCGACAATTGCACAATGTTTAATGTTTATACATTGAATCATGCACGCGTAAAATCGATATGAGCAGATCCTTGTAGAAATAATGTACGATAAGAGCGTCCCTTTGTTATTTCTCAAGATTATTTCATGGATGTAAATTTAGAATGTGAACTTAGTCTTTTCACTAATGCCGAAAGGTAAATAACCACTGTTTTTACAATTCGATTTCATTATTCATGCAACTTATAACTGTGATTGATTGAGTCCAAACCCTCGGTTTGTCAAGTCCCACAGTACAATTTGAGTTATTACCTTTTTTGACATAGGTTTAAAATCCTACCATTCTACCCTCCTACCGGCATCTTGGTCAAAATGAACGGTTATACGATTTGATTTACTTTCTCCCCTGGATTAATCAACATGCGATTGTATATAGTCCGCGGGTTGCCAATCAGGAATGTTGCAACTAAAGAATAGTCTAATCCGATAAGAGAGCAAGGTTCTGAAAGATAAAAAATAACATGCGACATGCAGCTAAACAGGCAGAGATATTTTTTCAACAGCGAAGCTTGCCTTTGTGTTGGGAGGTATGGAAGTGGCTTCGGGTGCTAATGTGACAAAAGAAGTATCGCCACCGGCGTCCTCGATTTTAAGGAAGTCGTGGTAATAGTCGAGTTCACTTCTGGTTGGTAATTTGCACATGTCTGAAAAAAATATTAGATAGTTCATCATCTATTTAGAAAACCTAAAACTTTGTTTAAAAGTACTGAATCTTTTCCACTACTCAGGATGTACGTTTGCCGACATACATCTATACATGCATTTTCTGTCAATATGACCCGTACAACTATATTAAAGACAGTATGTCTATAAACATTTATAACAACCTTTAATCCAGACAAGAACTTAAAAATCAAATTTGTATGGGTGGGAGATGCATACCTCGAAACATGACACATTTTAATAACCATATACATCCACCGGCGATCTCTGACATCGTATAATCTATATATAAATTTACAACAGAGCCCAGCGGACGAATTATGTTGGACTAAATAGTCCGACGACAATCGTTACCTTGGTTACGACTCATAACCATGGTCACTGGTCACTGGTCAGGTGTCACCTTTATATTGCTATTGCTATGAGGTTTATATGTAAAGTTATTAGAAATCTTTTATACTTTGTTTTCGTAGAAGTGTCTCATTTGCTTCTTAAACAGCAAACATGCTCTTTAACTGTGAAACTATAAGCAATCTTATTATCATAGTACGTTTCACTTTTCTGAATTTTCCTTTTTTCCCATTTTAAGGCTCTTTTATAAAGGCTGTTATATTTTTCACTCCATATTTTTCGTCCTTATATTCTAATCATCATCCGCCTAACATTATGTTTAAAAATCAAAACAAAATGCACTTGACTTACCGTAACACTTTATGAGGTCTTTAAATTGAGCATTTTCAAAGTCGTATTTCGATGCGTCACAAAAGAATTTGGTGTTTGCCTCAACGTTCTCGGTAAACAGAAACACTTTAGATTGTTTGCAACCACTAAGGAGTAGTGGTGTGTTGAGCCCAACCGCAAATTCCTTTGAAGCATCCTGAAACTGCCCCTTTTCGATTGTAGCGTATTCTACGTTATATTCTTTATTGATGGTTGTCTGCGAAAATGAGGTTAAAATTGGATAAAGTTTAGTTACGGCTATAAATCGATCGGAACAGAAATTTTGATAGTTCAATTTTTTACTAAATCCCAAAAATGGAATAGAGTGAACCGAGCCGAGGTTTAAGGATCGACTGGGACCACTTTTTTGGCCTCCCGAAAAAGGAATGATTTAAAATGAACTTAAATTAGTGTTCTCAAATGGTTCCGATGATAACACCGGTCGCTCACCCGACACAGGAACAAATAAAAGACGATGGAACAATTTCGCAGAGAAGTAAATGTGTTGCATGTAATGTTCATGAATAAAGGAGTTGAACGGCTTAAACAGTGGCTATCAAAATAAAATCGTCTGATTAAAAAATTATCAGAAACGTATTAACTTACGATATCACAAGGAGCGCTGCACGCTTGAACGACAATCTCACTTGGCGATCCTCCATCGGTCACCTCTTTACATTCGACTTCATCCTCTTGCCCATACGGTAAATAATACTCGCCATCTTCGCAAGCAACATCATATGAATTGTCTTGAGGGACCGACAATATTGTCTCAGGGTAACTGTCAAATCCGAACGCTATTCCATGATCTTCAGGCAGCTTCAGTGGGCAGTCCTCTGAAAGGAATGAAAGTTATTGGTCTATATTCTGTAATACTGGTAATATTCCTTAAATTTATGGATTTATATGCATAAATGCATAAATGCATTTTAAAATATCGTAAGCACGGAGCAGTCTAAAAACAATATTTTTAATCGGAATGAAGAATTACTTTTTTATCTAAGAGAAAATTTGGAAAATGCTAACAGTTTAGACTCGACTCAGAATAAAATTGCCGACAAAATCGTACTCAGGTGTGCTATTCTTTTTGATAGGCCTCTAGTAATGCACAATTTAAACAGCCTGATTCTCTGTAGGTTAAAAAGTTACAAAGTCAATTATCCGTTTTTGGATATTGTGGATGTTATTTAAACCGACATGGAAGGTTAGGGTAACAACGATGACTAAACAATTTTGTTGATATAAAATATTTATTAAAGCACGAAAAATAGTATGTCCGAATAGTACATACTCAACGGGTCTTGAAGCTTATCCGTTAGAATAAGTCCCCGTTATGTCATCAGAAGTGACAATCTCTTCGCCTAGTCTTTGAGTAAAATGCCCACTTTAGTTAGCACTTTGCAGTTTTAGATTACGACAAAAGCGGAAGTCCTAAGTTCAGGGGTAATGCAAACTTCTTCAATTCCACCTCCACTACCCATTACTTCTTACCATCACTTTAAAGGCAATGGATAGAATAAATTAAAGTAACGTACCTCTACACTTCACGATGTCCTCGATCTTGTGATTCCCGTCTAAGAATACAACCTCGTCCCTTGTATCCCAGGCGCATTTCATCTCTTGTTTGTTTCTATAGACCGAATTAATTTCGCCTACAAATGAAGCTCCAGCGTCACATTGGTAAATGATTTTTCCGGTATCACCAGTCGTTTCCGGTAACGCCGTTGTAGTCAAAAAGGATGCCTTTGCGTCGGCTTCCAGTGTCACTGTAGATACGTCACATTCTGAAAACAATAGAAATAACAAAAAATAGAATAAGGTCAAGATAAAATATACAGTTAACAGCTTAGACTGTTTAAGGCGAGCTCACATATACTTGTAGATATGTTCAACGATTTATCCTAATTTCATCAAGATAGGACACGATGAATTAACACTTGGTTTAGTATCTTGGTGGTAAAATGTTAGGGAAGCTATCCATAACCCTGACCACAACCCTTACCCTAACCCTTACCCTAAACAATCGAATTTGTGTATTACTACAGGGTGGGCCAAAAGTCAGTACCCATACGTTGGCCTTTATAGCTCAGTCACTGAGTGCCCAATTTAAATACTTCTTTCTGGTATGACTTAGTACCACCACTGGTTCGAGGAATTTGTCAACTCGAAAAATATTCGCGTTCATTTTTTTCAAATGGAGGTTCATTTTCACATTTATTTGATAGTTTGGATAGTCGGATCAAGCTAAATGTTATTGAATTGTGTTTGGCCATTCGAATTACGTTTGTCCTGAAAGAATTAGAACTGTAGCTTCTCAGATGACCGAGATATGAAGCATAACGAGTTTATTCATTACGTGTGATCAGGTGATTGGTTTACCTAATCACGTGATAAGGTTCCCCCGTTAACTACCCCGTTAAACATTATGGGAATTATTAAGGGTGCCCAATCAAGGTGTCGTGTCACGGTGTCACATAATCACCCAGTCAATATTGTTAACGAGATACAGAAAATGCTTGATAACTTCGTCATTTCTAATCCGTTTTGCCTCATGTTTTCAGATCATATGCAACATTTGATAATCTACCGTCTCTGAAAAAATCAGGGGTTCAGCATGTTCAGAGAAAACAATATAGGTGTTTTAATATTGAATGGGCGTGGTCTAAAATATTCGAATTTTCAAATTTTGACGGCGGAATCCTCGAACCAGTAAGTACAGTATGCCATCTGCAAAGCAACAGCTCTCAAATATAAAACACGGCGGAGCTATTAAGGCCAACGTATGGGTACTGACTTTTGGCCCACCCTGTACTACTAACTACTAGCCTGTCACGTGACCAAAACAGTTGTTTGCCCATAACTCTCCAGGGATGCATTGTTATCCTACGTTATGGGGGTGATTCGGAATCAGCGTCCAAAAATACACCGAATTAGATAACAGGGCCTTTTCACAAGACTTTTCTTAAAGTTTGGGCGAGCGATTTAGTGGGAGCGAGCATATCTACCATTCCATACCTAAACACACCGTAGCACTATATGGTATGATACTTAACCTTTCATCACCAGGATATGTAACCAGTGTACCGTAGTGTGTTTTGTCGAAGCTTTATTGCAAAACGTCGACATTTTAATCGTCATTACATTGACAGTAGTCAAATTATACTGTAAACTTTAAGCTGTTCTCAAAAACATTTCAGGAAAAAAGAAAGTCGTAGAAGGTAATAACTTAATAAGAACTTACGATAACACTTCATGTCACTGTAATCCGTATTAGGGCCATCACATTTAATAGCAGGAAACACAGTTTTACCATCTTCTTGTGCATACCCTGGTTTGCATTCAAACTGAAAAGAAATTTAAATCATTAATTTGCATTTAATCAAATATTAACTCTTATCCCAATTCCAGACCTTAATTCGAGGTGTCTATCTGCAGATGTAGGGGGGGGGGGGGTCTCTCTGCAGATGGCACCCCTATCAGGCGGGTACAGTTTCATCCAATGTTTATGTTGGACTGTCCAGTTGGAAGATTCTATTTTACTAATTTATCTAATAAAATGACCATTCATAAATTATGTGATAAATTAAAACTCACCTTTATTTCTGTACCAAGGGGATAGTGCTGCACTGTATCAAAATCGAGATCCATCACCACGGTATCGTCAATGGTTGGTTTTGTACACACGGCTGAAAAATGGCGTAAGTTCAACATTACGGAATGAGGAACCACCAATCGTTTGGACACATTTGAAACTCGAATTTATATAAAATGACACGTGATGCCCATATTAGGTGATGAAATGGTGAAACACCGCGGTTGGGGGTGATTCGGAATCTGTGTCCAAATATACACCGAATTAGATAGATCTCATACTATACCTTCAGGACCTTTTCACAAGACTTTTCTTAAAATTTGGGCGAGCGATTTAGTGGGAGCGAGCATATCTACCATTCCATACCTAAACACACCGTAGCACTATATGGTATGATACTTAACCTTTCATCACCAGGATATGTAACCAGTGTACCGTAGTGTGTTTTGTCAAAGCTGTGTTGCAAAACGTCGAAATTTTAATCGTCATTACATTGACAGTAGTCAAATCATACTGTAAACTTTTCGCTGTTTTCAAAAATATTTCAGGAAAAAAGAAAGTCATAGAAGGTAAAAAGAACTTACCAGTACACCTTCTGTCACTGTAATCGTTTTGACCGCCTACACATTTAAAAGGAGGAAAAACATCATCACTTATATACCCTGGTTTGCATTCAAACTGAAAAAAAATTCAAATCATTAATTTGCATTTAATCAAATGTTAACTCATATCCCAATTCCAGACCTTAATTTGAAGTGTTTCTCTGCAGATGTGGGGGTGACGGGGGTCTCTCTGTAGATGGCACCCCTATCAGGCGGGTACAGTTTCATCCAATGTTTATGTTGGACTGTCCAGTTGAAAGATTCTATTTCACTAATTTAACTAATAAAATGACCATTCATAAATTATGTGATAAATTAAAACTCACCTTTATTTCTGTACCAACGGGATAGAACGGCTCTGCTACAAAATCGAGATTTTTTATCATCACGGAATCGTCAAGGGTTGGTTCTGCACACGCGTCTGAAAAGTTCAACATTACGGAATGAGGAACCACCATTCGTTTGGACACATTTGAAACTCGAATTTATATAAAATAACACGTGATGCCCATATTAGGTGATGAATGGTTAGCCACGGCGGTTGGATTTTTCAGATAACTCACATTCACATTTAAAGAGTTCATACATAGCCATGATATCAGTCATTCCTCCAGCAGAGTCCTGTAAACAACTAAAGCTGATTTTTTTGAAAGTTCCAAAATCTGAAAAGTCCGTAATACTGTCGTCTTTTGGTATCATATACCTGGAACAATTTACAGCTATTTAATCGAATAATATTTGTGATTTTCTCATTTTATCCGTTATAGTTATTATTAAAGCATATCACAGATCACAGATAAATGCTAGTGACACCAAACTACATAGTCAGCTTCTTGAAACCAACAGTAGCTTTACTTGATTGTTTTAACTAGCAAGATCCCGTTTAGATCTAAAGTCAAGAGACAACAGTATTTATAAGTTTGCGATTATAAAACCACTCAAAAATGTGGGGACTTCTTATTACTTAGTCAATCTTTTAGTTCTTCGTACTGTTCAAAAGGCCATAAAAGCATTCGACCCAGTCAAAAAAAGAAGAAAGTTTCATTTTCAATGAAGCCGCTAAGGTACTCATCCCTCTTTTATATTTATGTTATCTAAGTTATCAAGTAAGTATGTTATCAAAACCATACTCTGCATATCATGTCACATGTGATAGTGGTGAGTGCTGAAATCTGCCATTTGTTGGCTGTAAATCAGATTTTCCACCATTTTTGTGTCAAACCAAAAATAAGTAAACCAGAGATACAACTGTCGACAGACTTATTTGAGCGTAATATTTACTTACATTTTAGTTGGATTCGAGATACTTATACATTCAAACGTAATTTCCTGCCCCAAGTATATTCTGTCGTAAGAGGCGTAGTTACCAGCAACTATTTCCTCTCCATCTATTATAGTTTTCGTTGATTCGCTTTTTGCAAGATCCTTTGCACTGTCGCCTACCAGTTTGCAGCCTGAAGGTTAAGTAACATATAAAAAGGAGTCTTAATAACGATTCTTGTACTATACAAAATATGTACTAGACAAATGGATTAAAATCCCATAACACACAACCCTTTGCTCGATGAATCACAATAAAGGTGTGAAGTTGGCAAGCACTTACTTGGTGTTTGAGCTGTAATACATATGTCAGTGACCCAACAACAATATTCAGAGTTACACTCGGATTCCTTTGTTACAGGGACTGCAAAACCGTCCGGTATTGAACAAGGAGTAAAATTTGTTATTCCTGACCTATCAGCAGGGCACTTTTCATCTCCCGATGAGGCATCGGCTGCATATATGTCTGAAATAAAGGGAATATTCATAAAAACAACTAAATCACGGGTAATCAAGAATTAACCACAGTGCAATCATTAAAAACCACGTTAACCAGTCGTATATTGTGCATTCAGTTTCGCAAATGCGAGCAGTTACGAAAATATATAAATTTGAGTAAAGATGATAATTAGATAATTCTCAATGGAACTAGGAAAATCCTTTCCATGATAACACTCCAGCGTATTCAACAACAGATAGCAGACTACACTGGGCCATGGCAGAATGCCTATAAATCAGGACACAGCTGCTCTAATATTGTCTGGACACAAAGGGTTCTTATTTCTGTTGTCAAGGAGAAACATTGGGAGTTTAGTAAAATGGGGATAGACATGTCATCAGCCTTCGACACAATACATCGGTCAACTATCCTCAGGCTACTCGAAGATGCAGGATGCTCAGAAGATGACATAAGACTAGTTAGATATCTGCTCGCTAACACCAAGCTCAGAATTAAGATCAAAAAGACGACATCGGGAGAGTTCAAAGTCACAATAGGAGCCTTTCAAGGTGACTGTTTGTCTGGCTCGCTGTTTACCATGTACCTAGCTGGAGCACTCTACCACCTTAGAGTTGTTGTTATACATCTACGCCCAAATCCCCCCATATCTGAAAGCTCCCTTCCTTTAGAATGGGAATATGCTGATGATGTGGACTTTGCTGATGAAGATGAGGATTCGTTACACCAGCTCCTTCCAATTTGCAAGGAAATTCTCTCAGAATGGAATTTGTTTGTAAATGAATCTAAAACCGAGTTTGTAAAGTGTTATCTGGCTGGAAGTAGTGAGAAGGACGAAAAAGGAGAACCTCTAAGAAATAGAGAACCTTGGAGGAAGTGTGTGTCCCTAGGCTCTAAGCTATGTAGTAAAGAAGACATACAGCATCGTATAATCCTTGGAAATGTTGCATTCGAAAAATACAAGAAAGTTTGGATGCAAGGATCTAAGATTAATCTGAAGACCAAGATTAAGATATACGAAGCATACGTTACATCTGTTATGCTCTATAACTGCAACAGCTGGGCTACCCCTCAGAACCTATTTGACAAACTTGATGCATGTCATAGAAGACACCTGCGTCAAATATTGAAGATGGCTTATCCCATTATTATCAGTAATAAAGCACTCTATGAACGCTGTGGTGTAACACCGTTGTCAGAGCGAGTGACATATGCTCGCTGGAAAATGCTTGGACATGTCCTTCGCAGTGACTGCTCATCACCAGCTCAGAGAGCTCTTCAATTTGCTGTTAATGCGTTATGTACCATGAAAGGACGTGTTGGTCGACACCAAAGTAATCTTTTAAAGTTTATTATAAATGATTTGAATAAAAGAAACCTACCATTACGTGATATTAATGATCTTTATGATCTTATGGCTACTGCCTCTAACAGAGTTTTGTGGAGAAAACTATTTACCTCATAATTAACCTTTATTTTTCAGAGAACTGTTATGTTTTTTTGGGCACTTATCAGTCTCTTAAGATGTTTCTTTACTATTTCGAGATTGTTTTAAAAGTTAGATAATAAATGACTCTAATTTCCAGAAAAGAACGAAAAATTAAGTGCTCTAATCTCGTCAGACTCTCGCTACCCAAATTCTTCCTTCACTTGAGATGTACAGATCAAGTTGTTCATTTCTAGATGCATATCTAGGTGTTTCCTCATGATTTTCTCAAACCCCTTGATTATATGATATAGGTCAGTGTAGTTGGAAGGAAGCGCCTTGCTATCTTTCTTGTGCAGTGTAGTAATTAAAAAATTAGGCAAGGGATCAACTAGATGAATGGGAATCGCCATAGCATCTTTGCAATTCTTCAGTAGAGCAACTGGGATCTCATCAGAACCCGATGAAGCACTTGACTTAATATCATCAATAGCCTCTATAACATGTGATGGTTCCTTTAATCTACTTACTTTAGGTTAATTTAGGTAGGTTCGGCAGGGATCGCTTCTGGACAACAGTATCAAGTACGTCCTCCAATCACTCCTGGCTTAGATCTTTTTGTAGAGTCCATTCCAGAAGAGAATTATTTGTGATGGCGGTATACCCTTTTGTGGGCGGGGTATCCAAGAAGCCTTTCAGGAATTTAGCAAGGGAGGATTTGAAAGTTTCCAAGACTTGGATTGTGTTAACTTCCTTGGGGAGCAGGTTCCATAGTTTGGCTGCTTTTACTCCAAAAGAGTTTTCGTAATGGGTCGAGATTGAGCATTGTGCCTTTTTGTTAAATGCAGGCACCGTGGCTTTTACACCGTGCCGGGAGCTTTCCTTGAACTGCATGTTGATGTCGTTCGGAGCTAGTCCATTATTCATCTTCCATGTATGGATTATGATGTATCGTTCTCTGCGTCTCTGTAATGAGAGAAGATTCAGGTTCTGCAGGCGTTCCCAGTAATCAAGGTTCTGGCAGCCACTGATTCGACGAGTGTAGTGACGTTGGATGCTTTCAATAGCTTCTATATCGCTGATCTTGTCAGGGTTCCACACCGGGCAGCAGTATTCGAGTTTGCTTCTCACCATGGTTTTGTAGAGTGTGAGCATGAGGAAGCGTGACCTATCTCTGAATACGCTAAGGACCCATGACGTCATCGTCCTTGCTGTTTTAGCCATCTGCTGTATGTGAGAAGACCAGGAGCAGTCATTTGACAGGAGAATCACTAGGTCCCTCACAGTTTTGGCTGGGTCAACAGTTCTTCCATTTGTTAAATTGTAACAGGAATATTGACTGGTGGAGGGCAATTCTCTTAACAGTAATGAATTGTTCAAGCTGTAATTAAATATTTCGAATTTGGCCTCATTTAGTTGCATGTTGTTCTTCAGGGCCCAAGCGATTACATTGAGGAGGTCGTCTTGGAGTAGGCTTTTGGTAGCTAGGTCCATGATTTTTCCAATGAGCTTGGTGTCGTCAGCAAACACCTTTCCCAGAGCGGTAACCAATGTACTAAATTGGTCGTCAATATATAGAATGGAAAGAATGGGTCCCAATACTGTTCCTTGGGGTACCCCACTGATTACTAGCTGAAAGGATGATTTTGTTCCTTCCACGACCACAGTTTGCAGGCGATCCTTCAGGAATTCAGTCAGCCATTGCAGGGTCTTTCCTTTTATTCCGTAGCGTTTTGCCTTTGCAAGTAGTATTTGACGATCTACCTTATCGAAAGCTTTTGCATAATCAAGGTATATCACATCAACCTCGTTGCCGTCATTGAGAGTTTTCAGGATGTTATCTACGTGGTCTATAAGTTGAGTTAAGCAGCTTCTTTTCTTGCGGAATCCATGCTGATGGGGGGGGGGGGGGGGGGGGAGAGAAAGCTGTTTGACTCCATATGTTCTACAAGATTATTTCTGACCACTCTCTCAAATATTCTAATAATTTGAGAGGTTATCGAGACAGGGCGATAGTTAGCGGCAGATGTTCGGTCTCCTTTCTTAAACACAGGCGTGATGTACTGTGTCTTCATGCCAGATGGTTTAACTCCGTTATCAAATGAGCGTTTCCAGAGTAGATAAATTGGTTCAGCGATTGTCATTCGACATTTAGTTAGGATCTTGGCCGGGATGTCACCATCAGGGGTGGATGCATACGGGTCCAGTTCCTTTGTGGCATCTGATATGTCGTCTGCTATGAAGGTGAATATGTGTTGAGATCTTATTTTGGATGAGGATCTAATCCGGCGAGGCATTCTTGAACATTTGCAGAATTTGGGTTGCTGAAGACTGTGACATATTGAGTCTGGAGAATTTCTGCTTTTTCCGCTGGGTCCATTTTCAGAGTTCCGTTTGTATCTCTAATTGGGGCGACGGATGATTTTACCTTTGCAAATCGTTTAGCGTAAGAATAAAAGAATCTTGGATTCGTCTTTATTGTACTTACAGCTTTTACTTCTTTTTCGTTAAGTTGCTTGATCACAAGTTCATTTATTTCGAAGGTCAGAAGATTTACTTCGGTTTTCAGCTTTTCGATTTTTCTCGAAGTTGGGTTGTTTTGAGTAAGTGCACTTATTTGGGCATTCAGTTTTCTTCTTTTCCTCTTCATTGTGTATTTTTCACGGACTTGGCGACTTCTACGGGGGCGGGAAGTGCCAGTTCCAGTAGGGTCTTTAGAAGGCGAGTTTAGGAGAGTTATCTGGAGGACAGTTAGGCGTATAAGCTCCAGAAAGGCACTTCCATCTTCATCTTCATAACAGAGTTCTCTCAAAGAGATCCAGTTAACAGCTTCTAAACGATCGTTCATAGCTTCAAAATCTGCTCTATGAAAATCAGTCGCATGAAAAGAGTTTCTGTCGAAAGATATAGGATTATGTTCTTTTGGGCAGAGCGGGTTATGTCCGATTATGAGCTCGACTAGCCTGTGGTCGGATAGTTGGCATTCGGAGATATTGGTCTCAACTGTGTCCTGTGGTTTATTTGTGAGGACGAGATCGATGGTGTTGTTATTTCTCGTGGGCTTACAAATCATTTGTGTCAAGAAATTTCTCTCCATGAAATCAATTAGTTCGGAACAAGCTTGCTGGTCACAAAGCGGTTGACCAGGTAAAGCTTGGCAAGTGTCCCAATCTATATTTGGGAGGTTGAAATCCCCCATAATGTAGACAGTAGATGTCCGGTGATCTATCGTTCGATGTCAAGTTATTTAGCTTCTCCTGCACCTGGTCCAGGACTGCTTTGAAGGATCCGGGAGGAGCATCTGGTGGGCGGTATATCACGGAGACAAGGGCGTTCATAGAGTCTATGAAACAATGCAGCATACTGCAGTGTTTGTCACTAAACTTTACAGTATCTGATACTAGCAGCGAGTTTTCAACGTAAAGCACACAACCACCACCTTTTCGACTTTGACGGTCTGCTCTAAGACTGTTGTACCCATCTGTAGCTATTTGAGCATCACTGATATATGGCTTCAACCATGATTCAGTGATAGCGAGAATAGGGACCGGTGGTCTTCCTAGGTCGTCAAGTATGTGGTCTTGGATGAATGGAATCTTCCATTTTACAGTGCTGGTTGCGGCTGGGGAGATGGACCGAGCATTCAGTAGCAAGATCCTTGATAGTTGGGAATGAAGTTTAGTGGCATCGGCATCCGCATTGGCTGGTTTGGGAGTGGCAGTTGGGCTGGGAACTGTGTTGGTGGTGGGAACTGTGTCGAGATTTTTGAGAGGATGTTTGGCGTGATCTCGGGTCCTGCTGGCTCCGTTGTGTCTCTTGGACAAGGGCTGGAATTTGCCCTCGAAGTTCCTCCATTTTGGAGTTCATCTGGGTTATAATTCCGTTTTTTATGTTTTCCATGAGCTTCTCTAAAAAAGCACTATCCCTCTCAGAAGTACTGTCTTTACGTTGTCTGAGAGGTTTCTGATATTCAACAGTGGGTGGGTAGGATGTGTTGAGGGAGTTTAAACTACCCATTCTGTCCACATCATAACCACCAGGAGGCGGCCAGGAACTTCTGTTCGTGTTGAATTCTATTCTTCTCGTATCTTTGGGCTGCTGCTGCTGCAAGACAGGCGATTTCTGTCAGCGAAATTCACGTTTCCAACAGTCTTTCTGGCCGTTCCTTTAAGATGATGGAAGCCACAATCGCTGTTTAAACATACGTGATTCGCAACTGAATTACGGCACATTTTGGGGTGGAAAAAAGTGCATTTCTTCTCATTCCTGCATCCGTTTGTCGTCTCCGAAATTGGAGTAAAAGCGGCATCTGATGGGGTGCTGGTATGAGCATTTCTTACCACCAATGAGACGTTTGCCAGTTAGGCAGGGGGGACACTTCCTCATAGTGTATTGCCGGCAAATCTGGGGGTTATTTTCGGTATCATTATGTCTACCTCTTCTAGGGCTTTCCCTGTGTAAAATCCGGATTGGAGTATTATTTATGAGTCGCATTGTTGTAATGTATTCTGGGTAAAATTATCTTTATCCCGGTTGTTGCGACAAGTAAAAATGCTCTTATTAGGGAAAGGAGATTACTCGACGTTTCAATCGTATAAATTAGTTTTGTTATGAACTTTGTTATGACTTTTTTGTATCGAATTTTTGGATAAAGTTGATTGATTAAAAATAAATTAATGTACACAAAATTTTGCCTCAGATATATGGTTTTTACGTTTTGAATTTTTAACACTTGTTTTTAGATCATGAATACGATGTAGCTTTCCCTGTCTTCATCCTCATCTTCATCTTCATCGCCCTCTACCTCAGATTCAACCTCTTTAATAGTGGATAGATCTGTTGTACTATCTGTGTTCCTTTTCTTGGAAGGTTTCTGGGGAGGTTGAAGTGAGCGTGTTTCGTTCTTTTGTGAACATTCGTTCGTGGAGCCCAGGTTATAGTAGTACAATGTGAACCACAAATCTGCTCGCTGCTGTTAGTTACACAGCCAAAATTTATAGAAGCAATAGCAAGAACTTCCAGATAAAGTAATATTATCATTTCTATCATATCAGAGGGTATTGTACCTTTATAATTTTTATATTGTTAACAACCCAGAAAACAGCACGAGGCACCAATGACAAGATTGTAGAATATCTCGAATTTATAAAATACTAGAAAACCCGTGGTCACAGGGAGGAATCTTATAGTATTTTTTGTTAGTAATTTTAAATCGCGTCAAAAATATCCTACACAACCGAAGATACAGCCGATTAAAATGTTGCTCGCACTAAACACAACGTAATATCACCAAATCCGATAAAAATGCCGTTTTAACAATCATTGCACGTGCACGTGCGTGTAACAACTCTCGTTACCATGGTCACTTCGCAAGCTTTTGCTTTTTACCTTATTTGCACGTGGGCGGTCGTACAGTGTACAGACAACAAAAATAATTCTCTGAATTATAAGTAAGATAAATTATATTTATGCAATGCAGCAGTTACTTAGAGTTAGTTTAGTTGCTAATTGATTAGCTTAGTTGCTTAGTTACTAAGATTTGTCGCGGTCACCCTTTGGTGTTTTTTTGCGCAATCAACCAGGCAAATGGTGTCCACTAAGACTTTACAAAGACTGGCAGCAAAACGTTTCACATGGACAGAGAGAAATATAGACAATACCCGCCAGTACCCGGATATGGGACGTTACTTAGTAGGAGCAAGGAGCATGATGTCATCCAACCAGCCAAAGTTAGTGTCGTACAAATTGTAGTGTTCAGCAGTCAGCACACATACGCAATGTAAAGTGTTTGTAGTGTAAAAGAGAATAAACATGTACTCTCAGTAGAGTACAGATGTAATGATGTTGCTATGGTGTTGCTATAGTGTTGTTATGGAGTTGCTATGGTGTTGATATGGTGTTGTTATGGTGTTGTTATGGAGTTGATATGGTGTTGTTATGGTGTTGTTATGGTGTTGCTATGATGTTGCTATGGTGTTGTTATGGTGTTGTTATGGTGTTGTTATGGTGTTGATATGGTGTTGTTATGGTGTTGTTATGGTGTTGCTATGGTGTTGTTATGGTGTTGATATGGTGTTGTTATGGTGTTGTTATGGAGTTGATATGGTGTTGTTATGGTGTTGTTATGGTGTTGTTATGGTGTTGCTATGATGTTGCTATGGTGTTGATATGGTGTTGTTATGGTGTTGTTATGGAGTTGATATGGTGTTGTTATGGTGTTGTTATGGTGTTGCTATGATGTTGCTATGGTGTTGTTATGGTGTTGTTATGGTGTTGTTATAGTGTTGTTATGGTGTTGTTATGGTGTTGTTATGGTGCTGCTATGATGTTGTTATGGTGTTGATATGGTGGTGTTATGGTGTTGATATGGTGTTGTTATGGTGTTGTTATGGTGTTGCTATGGTGTTGTTATGGTGTTGATATGGTGTTGTTATGGTGTTGTTATGGAGTTGATATGGTGTTGTTATGGTGTTGTTATGGTGTTGTTATGGTGTTGCTATGATGTTGCTATGGTGTTGATATGGTGTTGTTATGGTGTTGTTATGGAGTTGATATGGTGTTGTTATGGTGTTGTTATGGTGTTGCTATGATGTTGCTATGGTGTTGTTATGGTGTTGTTATGGTGTTGTTATAGTGTTGTTATGGAGTTGCTATGGTGTTGTTATGGTGTTGTTATGGTGTTGTTATGGTGTTGTTATAGTGTTGTTATGGAGTTGATATGGTGTTGTTATAGTGTTGTTATGGTGTTGTTATGGTGTTGTTATGGTGTTGTTATGGTGTTGTTATGGTGTTGTTATGGTGTTGTTATGGTGTTGTTATGGTGCTGCTATGGTGTTGTTATGGTGTTGTTATGGTGTTGTTATGGTGTTGTTATGGTGTTGTTATGGTGTTGTTATGGTGTTGTTATAGTGTTGTTATGGTGCTGCTATGGTGTTGTTATGGTGTTGTTATGGTGCTGCTATGGTGTTGTTATGGTGTTGTTATGGTGTTGTTATGGTGTTGCTATGGTGTTGCTATGGTGTTGTTATGGTGTTGTTATGGTGCTGCTATGATGTTGTTATGGTGTTGATATGGTGTTGTTATGGTGTTGATATGGTGTTGTTATGGTGTTGTTATGGTGTTGCTATGGTGTTGTTATGGTGTTGTTATGGTGTTGTTATGGTGTTGTTATGGTGTTGTTATGGGGTTGTTATGGTGTTGTTATAGTGTTGTTATGGTGTTGTTATGGTGTTGTTATGGTGTTGTTATGGTGCTGCTATGGTGTTGTTATGGTGTTGTTATAGTGTTGTTTTGGTGTTGTTATGGTGTTGTTATGGTGTTGTTATGGTGTTGTTATGGTGTTGTTATAGTGTTGTTATGGAGTTGATATGGTGTTGTTATAGTGTTGTTATGGTGTTGTTATGGTGTTGTTATGGTGTTGTTATGGTGTTGTTATGATGTTGCTATGGTGTTGTTATGGTGTTGTTATGGTGTTGTTATGGTGTTGTTATGGTGTTGCTATGGTGTTGCTATGGTGTTGTTATGGTGTTGTTATAAAACCCTTTAGTGTGCAATTTGCATAAAAGTTTCGTCACAAACAATATACTTCCGATTTAAGTTAAATGTATCAAATTGGCAAAATTACACATTTTATTTCAATTGCACTGTGAAGAAGCATCATTGCAAGCGCTCGAGATCAAGCAATCGCATATTAACGCATATAAACACATATACACGCATATAAACATATATAAACGCATATAAACGCATATGAACGCATATAACCAATACACGCATAACATAGAAACGCATATAAACGCATATGAACGCATATAAACGCATATAAACACATATAAACGCATATAAACACATATAAACGCATATATATATCATATCGTTTTTAGTTGTGTCATTTCCTTTCCAATGTTACATTTTTATTATTATTTGTAGGAACTCATATTAAATTTAACCGAGTTTCTGATTCAGGATGTTACTGAAGTTAGTAATGAAAATGTTTTAACACCTCAGAACTGTGTATTACTACAGCTCAACCTGCTCAGTTTGACTAATTGGGAATTTAAACTATTGATAAACACAGATAAACGCATATTAATCTTTGGATTTAGTACTCACTGTGGGTACTGCTGACGCACGTATTGAAGATATACGCTGTTCTTGCGGGGGCGTTGCCGGTGTTCGTTCTCTTATCCAAAACATAGGAAATGAAACCTTTGCTATCGAAATTGTCCACAATCACGACATTACTCCTTTCAAACGGCGCTTTTACAGGGTCGTAAGTGGACGCTGAAATTTGTTTGTTATTTCATAATCATATATCTATAAATTAGTTGTTAGGCATATCCAAGTACCAGCACAATCTACAAAGTTCTACACTGAAATGAATCGGGATCAGCTTACTGGTAACTATTTAAACAAACGTTTTCTAAACGTCCTTTTTAATAATAATTTTTGCCCAATGTTACAAAATCACCTCGACGTACCTTAAACCAAAATTTGGTGACAAATATTTTTGCCGCCTACAATACGATTCTGCACCGATTCCGATAATAATATTTCACCAATTTATGGCCCGAAAACTATCAAATTTGGTATATGCCCAAATATGGTCAGCTATTTTTCAATATGGAAGAAAATTCATACACGAGTTCAGGCGTTGAGGTGATTTTTTGGGCATTGCTGTAATAGTTCCATAAAAATACGTAAACAACCACCCCCCCCCCCCCCCCCCCTTTCTACCCGTTATAATAACATATTATGTTATCGAAATAAGATATTTATTTTTCAGATTAGCTTACGGAACATCCATGTTATTTTGGCTGGTAGAACAGTTGCCTGATCGGTAAATATGGTAAGGAAACGTCCGTCAAGTGCAGAATTAGCTTTTAACGCTGCAGTACAATCTGTCGAAATAGTATCGGAAGTAGTCAGCTGGATGTCGTCAAGATAAACTGCTAACGTGTCTGGGGTATCAGCGATAATGGCATACGTAACTACGAAGCTAGCTGATGGCTTCGGAGCGTCTGCTACTAAAACAAAGGTAAGGGCTGACTCCACAAAGACGTCTGCAACCGCTGCACGGCACTCGAGTGTAACCTTATACTGCTCAAGATTATCACTAGATAGACCAGTGAATGCAGCTGTTAATTTGACTAGGCCTTCTGCTCCAGCAGCATCAGACGTGTGTACTGTGTGGATAACTTCAGACTCCACTACTGTTATATCATTTTGTAGAGTCAGATCATAACTAAGCAAGTCCCATGAAATTGTCATCTTTTTAGCGGCGTCATCCACGGTTAGAACTTCGACTTCAGCAAGTTGACTGTTAGAGATAAGACCTGAAATAAAATTAAAAAGTTAATCATTCAGAGCTATATTTATAATAATATATTATAGTTATACAACACGCCAAATAACTATAAGATGCAGCTCAAGTGTGTAGGTATATCATTAAAACGACTCACCATCCGCGCTCTCTGGGAGTTGACCAACTTCAAACCCAATGGAAACAAGGTCCAATTCTCCAGCTTTCGTAAAAGCGCTCGCCTCTGCTCCGGTCCACTCAATTTGTTCAGGGTAACAAAAATGTGCTGTTTCAGTAACGCCAATCAATAGCAAAACCAATGTCCAGGTCTGATAGAGAGTAAAAAATTTAGTACCTTATAATATCAGTAGTTTGTTTAAGGGGGGGGGGGGGACCCCGACCGCCAAACGGTGCCCGCAAAGCAGCCACGCCCATATTTGGTCCAAATTAGGCCCAATTTAGCCAAATACCCTGAACATGCCCAAAATCCAGATTTTAGGTTCTCTACTTGTAGCTAGTGGTCCCCTGAACTCGTATATGAATTTTCATCAAGATTGGACAAAAATTACTGCGTTATGAGCCAAAAACCATATGACCATTTTTGGGCATACGCATCAAATTTGATCGATTTTGGCCCATAAATTGGTCAAATATCAATATTTTTGAATGAAATCAAATTTATATGGAAGGTAAGCCTATACTACACATTATCTATGATTATCAGCTCAGTATCTACCTAACTGTGGATTCTGTGTTCGAATAATAAAAAAATGAACAAAATCGCCTATATCTCAGTTCGCGATATTTGCAAAACTGATTTCGCTCAAAACAATAGAACTCAATAGGTTTACAATATTTTTACATGAAATTTTCAGAATCAACGTAGAATCGCATTTCAACCTTAAGTTTTAATATGGAATTTTGAGTTAGTCCTTTAAACAAATTTGGCGGCCAAATTCCAAAATTTGCAATGCAAAATTCAGAATTTGGCCGCCAAATTTTTTTAAAGGCCTAACTCAAAATTCCAATACAAAACTTAAGGTCGAAATGCGATTCTACGTTGATTCTGGAAATTTCATGTAAAAATATTGAAACCCTATTGAGTTCTATTGTTTTGAGCGAAATCAGTTTTGCAAATATCGCGAAGTTTCGCAAAAAAAATCTAGTTTTGTCTAGTAGGCAGCAAATACTTTTGATTTGTAGATTTATAACCTAGGGAGACGTGCACCGAGTTGGACTCGTCGATGGTCTTGCATTTGGAACAAATATTTTACGAGTATCACCCGTTAACTTTTGATTCGTCACGTTGCCAGACTAATGAAATTGTGAGCAGTTTGTTAACTAAGGTTATTCTAATTTTATTTTACTGCTTATTATATCATATACTATTACTAGGTTTAACAAGGTATTTATGGCATATATTATCAATCATGTCATTATACATTTTGTAAATCATTCATTATGCATTAGAACTGCCGTCCTGATCCAAGGTATTATCAGCACTCTGCGATTCACCTCAGAACCTGCCAACAAATATGTAATATGTGAAAATATCCCTAAAATAATACTGAAGTCACTCACCTTCATGTCTAATAGTAATAGCGGTGCACCGTCGATAGTTGTTACTGTTTGGTCAATCCTAGCCTATAATGATATTCAACGTATTAACTGAGCTCAGTGACCTTCCTTGTCCGTATTGGGACTGACCGTCTGTACGGACAAAAACTGTATAAAAGTAAAGCGGCTTTGCAATCTGCAAAATTGATAAACAGTGAAAGAATATTCTATTCTATACACTGGTCTATAACATAACGGTGAAAATGAACTTGATCCACACAGCTGACCGACTTTTGTTTTAAAAAACATACTAAACTGCTGAGTTCTTCCGGAGGGACATAACCTGACAATTTTGTTTAGGTTCATGATTAGGGCTTAGCTGGCGTTAACTGTAAAATTAAGGGTTCGATTTAAAATTTTGGTTTGTCAGTAAAAGCAAAATTAACCATTACAATCGAAAAATAAAATGTAAATGAGCTGCTACAAAATAATAAATACAGTAAGCCTTATCGAACAAAGCATCAGGGTCAGGGTCAGGGCCAGGCCATGAATATGATTACGTAATATTGCTGTCAGGAGGGGGGGGGGTTGGGTCTTGATTACGGTTCATTTCGGAGGGGGGGGAGGGAGGGGGTAAAAATTGCTAAAATATTGATTACGTAATATGTGAACAACCCCTAAACTTGATTGAAAATAACTCCAGCTAAAACTGCTGCTAGCACAGCAACAATAACAGTGAGGAGGCAAAGTTTGTTGAATGGGACTGAGTTCTCTTCCGGTTGCCCAGTGAATGGATTGTAATTACCTGGTTATGTTTGTTTACGTTTGGTTCTGCTCATTGCTCTCAGCCAGTCATACCAATCAGAGTTAGCAACTTCCGCAGCACGTGGCCGTCTTACCCACGTGTTATACTCCAGGAAAATAGGGTGGCCACTTTTCTGACCAGAGAACACGTACTCGACATTTTTCACTCCTCAACAAACTTACTATTTCGCAACTTGATCTACACAGCTGAACGACTTTTGTTTTTTAAACACACTAAACTGCTCAGTTCTTCCGGAGGGACATAACCTGATAATGTTGTTTAGGTTCATGATTAGGGCTCGTGTAAACTTTAAACTTTAAAATTAAGGGTTCGATTTGCTCATTGCTCTCAGCCAGTCATATCAATCAGAGTAAGCAACTTTCGCAGCACCTGACCGTCTTACCCACGTGTTATACTCCAGGAAAATGGGGCGGTCACTTTTCTGACCAGATAACACGTACTGTACTCGACATCTTGCACAACAAACTTACTCCTCCGCAAACAGTTTGAACGTCTGCTACAGAGAATACAAGACGAACAACATATTTTCACTGTACACAACGTTGCTTTTAAATCCAATTTCACGAGCGTATCCTTCTAAATTTCATAGGGAATCTCATGAATAATGAATATTGTATGTTAATAGTCACAGTGCTGATGAATAAATAATAATTTACTCGTGAGAGTTATTAATCTGGGGACTGTATTAAGAGATACTTTATATTTATATATATATAAATAATACTTTCAAAACTACTATATAACAAATAATTTGAGGATGACTGTAAAGGTACATTTTACCGACATTTGAAGTCAAGGCGTTGTTTTACTGATAGTTGTGGCTGACTAATAATATATATATATTTGAGACATTCAGTGAAACAGTAAAACACGAAATTCACATTAAGCTATCGATTGTGTAATCTTTACATGTCTCATTCTGAAAGCAAGTTTATTAAAATAACTGTTCTATGAAGTAAATTAAAAACATGACAAAAAAGATCAATACTGAGATGGGAAATTTGTGAGTAAGTCTCATTCAATCATAAGATATAAACAAAAGATGCAGAGGTGAAAGTAAACATCAAAATGCAAGTGTCTGTGGAAAGATTAATATTAAAGCATATCATATAAAGGTCAATTTTTTATTTCATTAAGAGCACTACGTTTATTAAGTCCTCCAAAATCACTGAGGGTCATAAGCTGGTTTTGCCAAAATGATTCTCTTTCTTTAGCAACCCTACTTCTATCTTCTAAGGTTAAACATTTTATAAAATCTAGCTTTTCAAAAATAATAACCTCTATCTGATCGGATAACTCATTGTCAAACGTTTTTAAGGGCTCTTTGGTAAGATTATGGAACTGGTTATCGTTAAAATGACAAGAAATTTCACAACTCCTAACCGCTTTCCTAATATGTGATTTGTGGTTCTGCCATCTGGTCTTAAAATTGTTAACTGTGCTTCCTACTGAAGCACGTCTGCAGACTTTATCCCTTACTAGATAGCACACCCCTACTGTGTTGCAGTCTAGTTGTCCAATGATGTTAACAGTGTACCCCGAGTGGTAGCTCTGAGCTGTTTTTGATTCACAAATATACATTCTACAGGCTTTACATCTGGAGTTACAATGATAACATCCCCCCTCTTCTATACTAGTAGGCAGAGCCACATTTTCAGTGTTAGAGTTTAAAGCCATAACATTACTATCTTCATGATACTTACGATCTTCTGAAAGTTTACTCGGAACTAAAGTTTCTTTGATAGTTTTATTACCACGATATGAAACAAATACTTTACTAGGCTGGATCACAGACTTTAAAAGGGGGTCTAGGCCAAGGATAAATTTATTCTTGTTAACTATTTTACCAATTGGAGGTAAGTTAGGGTCAAAATCACAAACTAAAGGAAAACATCTTTCACTCTTCTTACTATTAGAGCTTGTAAGGTTTTTTGAAATCAGATCATCCCGTTTAAGTAACTCAACTTTCTCAAAGGATTTATGGATAAGATCTTTATTGTAATTCCTATCTTCTAGATATTCACTAAATTCAATTTTACATTTCAAATACTCTTCTTCCTCTGAACAGTTTTTGAACACTCGATGTGCTACTCCATATGGAATATTCTCTGCTATGTGTGTAGGGTGGCAGGATTGTGGGAGTAAATAGCTATGGGCATCACTAGGTTTGCAGTACGTCCTAGTTTCTAGCTTGCAATTTTTCGAGTAAATAAACAGGTCTAGAAATTCAGTCCCCTCTGTAGAAGGTGTCGACATTGTAAACTTGAGGTTTGGATGGTATTGATTGAGCCAAAGTAGGAACTGGTCTAGCTTCTCCAGTGACTCAGTCCAAGTGATGTATATGTCGTCACGGTATCTGCCATAGAACTCAGGGGTTGTGATTTCTTGGCTCTCCACGATCTTACTGTCCAAGGGGCTGAGAGCTGAGTCTGCATACTGGCAAGCATTATTTGGACCCATCGCAGTTCCACTTGTCTGTACATACATGTTGCCATTGAAAACAGTGATGTTGTTATCCAGGGTTATCTCCAAAGCTTCCATAACGCAGTCTGTGGAGAAAAGTTTAGTACTTCTTTGGTCTAGTAAGGTTCTACAGGCTGGTAGTCCAATCTCCTTTGAAATGCTGGGGAACATGTTTACAATATCAAATGTAACGTGGTAGATGGTCTTCCCAGTCAATCTTCCTGACTCATTGAGTTCTTTCATCTTCATAAGTAGATCATTAGAATCCATGAGGCAGTGGGGCAGGGTTACCTTCTTTAGTTCTTCTGCTGTGAATATTGAGAGGTTCTTGATGTAAGAGTTACATCCAGTGCTGATAAGTCTCCCAGGGTAGTTTTTCTCTGGTTTGTGAGCTTTCAGGTTCATGTAGTTTACTCCAGGTTCATTTTCCTCTTCACTAGGTGTTACCCATTCCATAAAGTTTGGGGTCATGCCAGGGCAGTCAGCATCTGCTGAGTATTTCAGAACCCACTCTTTAATGGTGATGATGGTTGTGTGGATCTGTTGTTGTTGATCCGATACTTGTTTGAAAGTGCTCTGATCTTTTAGAGCAGCTTCTACTCTATTGATGTAGTCTGATTTGTCTAACACAAAGAACCCAGTCCCTTTATCAAATAATCGAATTACAGCATCATCCCAGCTTTTGAGCTCTTGGATTGCTTTTGTAGTCTCCTTGTCTACATTCCTAGGAGCTGGCTTTGGTTTTCTAGGGTGATTAGATATCTGTTTCTTGACATTGCTGATGAACATATATTATATACTTCGCCAAATATCACAGGCGTATGACACAGATCAGAAACATTTAATGATCACTTCAGTTGTTAGAAGCGCACCAACAGAAGGTGGAAGAGGAGTTAGCGATCTACAAGAACTCTGACCCAGCTGTGATGAAGAGCTCGCTCAGGGAGCAGTACAACAGGAAGATTCAGGAGCAAGACAATCTCGGCAAGGCATTGAGCTTTTTATTTAAAAGTGAAATAAATAGTGTTGTGGACTAGTTACAACCGGTATAACGTTTCCATCCCATAATATAATTTTTTGGACGATATTGCAATGTATTACTGTATTACTGTATTACTGTATTACTGTATTACTGTATTACTGTATTACTCTATTACTCTATTACTCTATTACTCTATTACTGTATTACAAAGATATATTAATTTTCCATTTCTCTCACCATCATTTAACTTATCTATAGTGTATTCCCAGTTTTCCCCACCATCCTTGCTAACGAACCACACGACCTTAGCCTTCTCCACTGTAGCAGTACAAGATATAGTTAGGTTCGAGAGTCTCTCGACATCGGCCTCACACGACCTTAGCCTTCTCCACTGCAGCAGTACAAGATATAGTTAGGTTCGAGAGTCTCTCGACATCCTCACACGACCTTAGCCTTCTCCACTGCAGCAGTACAAGATATAGTTAGGTTCGAGAGTCTCTCGACATCCTCACACGACCTTAGCATTCTCCACTGTAGCAGTACAAGATATAGTTAGGTTCGAGAGTCTCTCGACATCCTCACACGACCTTAGCCTTCTCCACTGCAGCAGTACAAGATATAGTTAGGTTCGAGAGTCTCTCGACATCCTCACACGACCTTAGCATTCTCCACTGTAGCAGTACAAGATATAGTTAGGTTTGAGAGTCTCTCGACATCCTCACACGACCTTAGCCTTCTCCACTGTAGCAGTACAAGATATAGTTAGGTTCGAGAGTCTCTCGACATCCTCACACGACCTTAGCCTTCTCCAC